CCATCATATTCTTTAGCTAATATTTCTACAAGTATTTACAGCACTGTAGCCTGTAATATCTCATTTGAAAGGGCATAAAATATACTTTATAGACAAAAAAACCATTTGCCTTCATGGAAGCTAACATTACCTTGAAAATGTTTTTTCAAACCATAGAATTATATGTAAAAGGTAAAAAATGGTTGAAAAACCAAAAATATTGTTAGAACACTCTATTTTCAGAATTAGTGTCAAAAGAGAGTATTTTTCCTGATCTATAACCAAATGTATCCCGAAAACCGAATTAAAAACGACCCGATCTTAAATTAACCACAATTTTTTTTCTGGACATAAACAAGCATATCGCATTTCCATTACTATGGAAACCCCCAGTCAGTCTCATATTACACGTCCCTAAATCAATATTCATTTTGCAACAAAAAGTCAACAAAGCAAAGCCTTTATTCAAGATTTCTGAGCTCTCCACTTTCAAAAACGATTGACATGAACACAATTTAATCAATAGCTGAGATTCTTAAGGTAAAAACGGAAAACCGAAGGGAATTTAGTTGCATTTGAACAACATGTGCTAAAATGGGTGACCACATGCGAAGAGTCACGTAAGTTTGTTTACCTCAATTTTCGCTTCTAATTTCCAAATTACTGTAAAAATTACTTTCTAATTACTTGAAATACCCTTCAGATTGTCGTCCTGGTAAGAAACCGTCATCAGAATCTTTGCAAATCGTTTTAAGCTCGCCCAATTCAACTCCGCCATTGTGACATGAATTTGCCTGATGTTTGAATAATTTTCATGTAGACCACATTGAACTGTTTCACCTAAAAATCGCCCAGTGATTGGGTAATTATGTCGACTCAGCTTCCTGTTGTCCAAATTTGGCGTCAAACGGAAGTAACTTGGCGATTTTTTTCTCTTATGGGTACATGTGCGTACCCATAATAACAGCATTTGTCGATGAAGAGTTAAGTAGCATTTAGCATTTAGCAACTTATATTTTGCACACACTGATACTATCAATAAACAAAATTCGTGTTTACAGGACAGTTCAGTACTCAGGTGTATATAAATTATTGGCACAGCAAATGTTTTGGGTAGAAATGATCATTATCATTAACTTCCAAATTGCAAACAAAACTACGCCTTGATCATGCACTAGAAGTTTAATTGACAGCTTTAAATTCAAGTTGTTTGTTTACCTGATTAGGATGGAGGCAAACACAGTTTACAGGTGCATTAACTTGGAAAACTCTTTGACACTGTAAATTATGGGACCTGTAATCAAAAATAAAAATGTCCCACATTTTCATTCCACAAAAGCAAGGTAAGGAGTAAAAGGTAGGAATGCCTATGGCTGGAAACTGAGCCTAGCATCCCCCTCCCCCGGTTTGCTTTCCCCTCCCCCAACATAAATAACCAAAATATTATATTATAATATTATATTAAAATATTATAAACCTTACTGAAATGTAATTAGTTTGAACCCTCACATTCCTTTTTCTCGCAAAGAATTTATTAACAACAGTATGAGTGGATATGAGTCTCTATTTTACTGAGTTTGGAAGCAGCAAGGTCATTACTCACAGAGCCTGCTTAAATAGTAATTTCGGATGCACATATATCTTGATAAAGGTCAAATCACAGAGGGACATACAGTACCGTAAGTCCCATATTCTGGCTGAGCAGTCCTCGCCACCAGTGAACATCCATTTACCATCCTCGTGAAATCCAACAGCAGTCACATTTTTTGACACACCGTCATAATTCACAACCTTACAAAAAGAACCAAAAGGTGAAGTTATTGGGTATTTCTTTCTTAAACTGACAGTTACAGGATACAACTTAGCAAAGCTAAGAATTCAATGAAAGTGTTTTTCAGTCCTACAGATCAGGAGCAAGACATCAGTACCCAGAGTACAAGGACTTTCTACACGTTACTTTTGGTCAAAATGGTGCTAAAATTATGACCACCAAGTAACTAATGTTGCTTATACAAATATGTGCCTAAATGAAGAACACTACCTAAAGATGACAATATGAAAATGAATTGTTAAACGAGAAAAAAATGTAATTTACTGGATTTCTGTGACATTTCCAAGACAAAAGAAAGGGAAGATTATGGACTTGTTCCAATTTTCAACCTATACCTCGCTCATACATAACTCTTGATAAAAAAGTGCTTGTAATAGTCACAAAGCATTTTGTCTAAATAATATTTTTTCCACAAACTGGATGATAACTTTTAAATTTCCATGGGATAAATGTGAAAATAATTTTTTTTGGACTTTTCAAAGTCATTTTCAAGATTGTGCCCTTTTGGAATTTTTATTCTTCTATGATAGTTAGGAAGTTGATTATCATAAAATAGACTGATGGAAATACCATAAGTATAAATAAAGTCATTGTTCAAATTGTATTGTACCATTCTCATTATGGGATGAGGAGTATTGCTATCCCCTACCCCCACGGGATGCTACTCCATCACAGATTGTCCCCCTCCCCCAGCATATATATTTTTGTGGTGTTGCCCTAGCCTGATAATTCGCTATTATTGATTCATATTTGTAAGTGGAGAAAAGCACTGTGGGAGTTAAGTGTCGTACTCAAGACCACGGTACATGTACAGTGACTCATGCCAGTGGAATCACAGACCCTCAAACTAAAAAAAGTTAATTAAATTATATTGCTAATAAAAGTACTGTAAACACGAGACTTACCGGACTTGGATTATTTGAATTGATGTCATACATACGTATATGTTGATATCCTGAATCAAGAGCCAAAAGTAAACAAAACCATTATTAAACAGTATGCAGTTTAAGAATAATAAAATTTGTCACTGGCAGCAACAAAGTGCAATAGGTCATTTTTACATTCAAATTAATGAAAATTGATGTATGGTTTATGATAAAAGTCCTAAGAGTATCAATTGACATGTTCAATTCAAACATCAAAATCAAATCAATATTGACCAATGAGCGATTTACAGATTGTGGAAATTATGTTAATAATGTTACTAACAATAATGTAAAACTAATACCGTTACAAGCCATATCAAATACAGGTAATGTTTAGGTGTCTGAGGGGGTAGTACTACCGATGGCCTTCCAAGTGACTGTTTTCAAGTTGCAATTTGAGAGCTGAATCCTGATTTCAACTCTCATGCATTCAGTCATTGTGTCATTTTTTGGAGAGTAAGAAGGTCAACACACCCCCACCCCTCTCCCCCAAGTTGGAAGATGCCTGTAGGCATATGTTATTAACAGACACTGCAGGCCACTAGAATTTTATAAGTACTAGCGTTAAAGCTAGGGGCAGTACTGAATAGATATCTAACCCTAATCATGCTTTAAAAATCAAATCCCAGTATTAATAATTATTTTCCTCACTAAAGTGTTCAACAAGTCATGTTATTCATACATTAATCTTGACATAAATGTTTAGCAGGGGTGTCTTTAAGGACTGTAACCCACAACACCTGTTACAGCTGAGTATGACTGATGAACCCTTGATGTTACAGGTGAACTTGTCCATTGTTTGGACAGATATAAATAACTCAAAAAGCAACAAGTTTGTTACAAGTGTGAAGATCAGGGGAACAAATGACTCAAAACTTTAATGACAACCCTGATAAGTATTGAGTCATTTTGCAATTTAATAGATTTGAGTCCTTCCTGAGAATAAATGGCACTGGACTAATTACCTGCAGCTGCCAATAACTGCCTGTCTGGAGTAATCTGCATGGCATTGACTTGCTATGACAGCAGTTAAGGAATGTAACTAGCAAATATAATCAAAAGAACAACAAGACAATAGAATAACATATCATTCCAGCAAATATTCGTGCCCGACCATGGAAGGATTTTTTTTGTCAGAACCCACCCACCCCTCTGTAAATTTCAGTTTAGTTAAAAACTTTCCTTTACAGTCAGTATGAATTTTAGCTTTTGATACCTTCAAAAAATACCCCTTAGAGTCAGGGCTAAGAAAAAAACTAAGCAGGCTCATTAAAAAACTCAGTCAGCTTTTCTGGCCTGTATTCCTTCAAAATTATATATATGTACGCAAGTGAACATATTTTGAAGAAAGCTGTTGAAGAAATTCAAATTACAGACTGAAGAACTGTAAGAGAAGACACAATGGCATTTATTATATAAACAACAATGAAATACCAGGCAAGCTTTCTTGCAAAAACATGACATCTTCACAAGTAAAAATAGTATTTTATTTTCATATGAGAAAAGAACACCGTTGCTAAGGTAACATAATAAATCACACCTTTCGCAGCAGAATTTTAATGGTTTGTTATTTCATTGGTGTTGATATAATAATAGAACATTACATGGCTGCTTGGAGATACAAAATTTCTCTTTTCATGTTGAAAAATATTTCACTTGTTCACTGAGCTGACCAAGTAAATATTTTTCAACACTCGAACAGAAATTTCGTATCCCCACACGGCCATGTAATATCCTTTATTTATTTCAATTTTAAATTAATTGACCGTGCTAATATGAAATTTAGAAGCGGGAGGGGGGTGGGCACTAGTGAGAATGACTTTTTCTTTCAAAACAACATGATATGTTGTTGTTTGCTTTTCTCGCGTTTCTTCCCTGTTTGAAGCAAATAACGTACAATCATAGTTACAAAGAAAAAATCTTGCCCATGAATAGCAAGGTTACTAGGAGTTCCTGTGCATACGTTACCAGTGTGTCGGAGTAACGACTCAAGAATATGGCTGACACATGTCAATGATAGTTGCCACTGGACAGAGGCAGAGCTGGGTCAGAACAAAACGTCAAAAGTCGGAACCAAGCATACTTTAAAAATTATCACAGAAATCACCAAAAAACAAACAGCTCCCTTTTTGACCCATCTTTCAGTAATAAGAGAGGAGATATTCATTATTTACAAAGTAAACAACACAATTAACACCTCGCATTTGTAAAAGATACAGAATCAGGATGCTGGACTGTGCGGTGACATATTCCGCTGTGTGCTTGCCAAAACTTAATGGCATGATCATAGCCTGCTGTAGCCAGGATAACTGGTTCACTTGAACCATCTGCGTCAGTCATTTTGCAGTTATCATTTGGGGATATTTACGTCGTGGAGTAAAATTCTCAGAACTGGCTTTATTTGTGAACCTTCGCTCGTCTTTTCTTCTACTTCAGTTCATACTACATGAAGAAACTATGTGTTTTCAACTAAACCGCTGTCCTTTTACTGTCGCCACTTGTTAAAATATTTTCTCAAGGGTAGGGAAGGTAACAGTGAATAAAATCACAAATGAGCATTGCGAAAATGTTCAGCTTTACTGGATAATCTTGAATACAGGTAGTTCTTTCTTTCTTCTTTCAAGCTATAAAATTCAACATGAATCTTCCGCTTGGGCGAGTATATAAGATATGCCCAAGAAAATGAAATTCAACATCT